GGGGGGGGGGGGGGGAGGATTGGTACACGTTACATGCTGGAAGCTGAAACTGATTAAGTACGTCTCGACTGAGGAAAAGGACGATATACTGGAGGAACTTGATTTGTGAAATCTCGTTAAAGCAGTTGTAGATATGGTTCCAAGAAGTGAATAGATTTAGTTTAGATTTTTAACTGTTAAATACATGTATGCATCATCATTGCATGAATATTTCTTCTCAGACTTATTCGGAAATGGTGTCTCATAGAACCTAAAATGATTTAAATGCAACATTTCTGATCAAAATCACATTGGGATCCCCCCCCCCCCAGCATCACAGGGAGGAAATAAGGTGACCCTGACTCCTCCTCCCATTTTTCAAGGTGACTTTTCCAATTTATTTAATTCCGAGTAGAAATGTCTGGAAAAATTCATGTCTTCGATGTACTTTATAATCTTCGGAATTCTGCTAGATTTCACCCCCAAAATGCATGAAATCGCAATTCAGGGACCCTAGATTTCATAATTTTCCTGACCCCGGACCCTCCTAGACGGTCTCACGCCTTCGGCGTGAGGTTCGCTCCCGCAAAATTAAGGTTTGGCTACGCCACTGGTCATAGCTGTACGATTATAGCTACAAAGAGATGAAGTTATTGTTTAAAGTAAAATATAGCTGAAGTTAATAAATTAAAGTTTTACAAAATCTCTCTTCAGACTCGCGCCAGTCGCGCGTTCGCCAAACCTTGACGGCTCATATTTTTCGTTCTGCCTTTTTTTTCTGTTTTGCCCCAGTGAAAATTCCTTAGAAAAGGCACTGCACAGGGGGATCAAAACGCTGCAATTTATGTTTGGAAGAAAAATTTTGCACTTTGAAAGACATAAACAAAGACAATTTACTCAAAAGTAAACAAGGTCGTTAACAAAACCTACAGACCCAAGCATGCATTGTTTCGCCTAAGCATTGTTTCGCCTACACGCATTCCGCACATTCTTTCGATAGCATAAAAGCAACCTACAATTTCGAAATTACTCACCACCTGATGATTCCTATACGGATGAAACAGACTGTTGTGGTTTTTTGAGGTAAAACGAAAAACTATATATCTGCAACCTTCTTCAGAGTTCTATACTGAGGCGGAGCTGACAGACATTATATAGTGTCATTATCGTTGCATGACTGCACTAATGCATGTAAATTGATGGAAATAATTTATGTTCATTTGTTGTCCAACACTGAGTGCAGAGATTCAAGGAAGAGCCTCTTGTGTGTATTTTGCACTCTCTTCTCTATGATCTTACCATTCTCCATAGAAGTCTCGTGTCCTGTAGTTTCTGCATGATCTTTAATTGCAGACTTTATTTCGGGTCGTACACCTGGCTTGTGCTCAAACTTTTTAAATATGTCAAGTGACTTGCACTTCAATTTAGCTCAGCTGGCGCTTGGCAACGAGAACGTCACTTAAGAAACACGATATTCCTTAACTCCTGTCTGAATGTCGCTGGCTAACTAATTTTCCCAATTTCATTAAATTGCCAATTTTTTTAATCTTTTGGCTAACACCCTGTATGTACTACACGTAGTTAATGCCCCACATGGTACCTTCAGCATATTCCATAATAATGCAAAGTGCTGCTCCATGTATGAAACTATCATAGAGTCCAATGATGTTTGGGTGCTTTAGTTTGTCTAAAATCTTCACTTCTTTCATGGCAGAGTCTCTATCGGCAGCATTCATGTCTTCTAATGGGATCTGTTTCATGATCAACTCAGCATTGTCCGCCCGACGGTGGCACAGGTACACAGTTCTAGTTCAATGAAAAACAGCAAGATGCAATATGTTTGAAATATTCACGGACACTGCATGGGGGCGGTACGGTATAGAAGATCGCAAAGTCCTTCGTCTTGTGCAGAAAACACGAAAACGTAGGAATTGGCTAAAACCGAAGGAGTGTGCAAAAAACGAAGGCACTTGCGGAAGTCAATCATTTTATCTGAAGGAGAACCGATATACTAGTACGTACGTAAATTGTGACAAAGTTTTTCAATCATGAAAAACCTTTAAATTTTCAATCATGAAAATCTTTTAAATTTAAAGATCGGGATATGTTGAATGGCCACCAATGCTATTGAAATTATTCAAAGGATACGTGGGCCCGCGGCCACAAAAAATTCAGAATCATTTAAACTATATACAAGATGCCTGAGCTCTGCTACTGGAGTTAGGTGATAGATATTTTCATCACGACGGTGCCCAAGGAAAAGCCGATCAAGTGTCATTATAAATTTCAATAAACATATAAAATTTTGTAAAGTACAACCCGAGGTACAACCTACTTGAAGCCCGAAATTTCGAAAAGAGCACACAAACTGCAGTGGATGCACGATCAGACCAAGAACGTTTTGGAGATTGGGGACATGAAATTACGACGACTCAGACTGTGGACCGTATTGTCTGACGTGTCCACAGTTAGAGGGCTTAGTTGAAAGGTTCAACCGCACATATAGCAGTTCATGTTGTCAATGTATGTTTCCAAGAACCAACGAGAGTGCATGGGATGTAGAGTACTTCATGTGAAAAAGGTCTTTTCCCTGCAATTCGTCGTATTCGAGTGTACGAGTCACTGTGTGGCAGCAACAACAGCTTTCCAGCGAGTGGACATATAATTTTCGTCTGCCTCAAATCGTTGTGACATAGTCAAGAAATTATGATACATAAAAATATGTTTAATGGAGAGGCAATGAATCCATGATGAACATAAAATTAGATGATTGTATTGAACAAAAGCAAGAAATGCCAAGATGCCAATTTCATAATATATTAATTTTATACTGGTTCATTAATTCAAACAAAATGTCTTGTTTGCACAAAACTACAATTAGAAAGTATAATATTTATTGTGGCATAGTATTATGGCAAGCTGGTTATCATCAAAAGTACACAACAACAGTAACTCCAAAGACATGACATCCACACCGGGCAAGCTGAAAAGTAGTATGCCTGAAAAGTAGCATCCATACCGGGCAAGCTGAAAACTAGTATTCCAAAGGTCGTGGGTTCAATTCCCACCGTGGCCAAGCAAACTTTTCAGCTTGCCCGGTGTGAATGCACACCCAGAGTAACATCACAAACATCATATTCACCTGAGTACATAACACCGACACACACAAATATCCAAAGACATGTCGATCATTTTATTGCTATCAACACCTTGAATATGATGTACACAACTTAGAGTGATACAGAACATGCACCCCTACTCTGATGTTCTCTTGTGTCTGAATGATGTAAGGGACGCAAAAAGGGCAACCTGGAAAAAGGACTGAAAAGATTTCAAAATGCTATACATGTGATGCTTCATATTCCAGTAGTACTGTACTTTCACTTGTTAAACTGGTGTAAACAACCTCTATTACACACCTGGACAACCTCACCAATATAACCTATTCTTCAAACCATGCAATCTCATGGAATATTCCATAATTTCTATGCTGTCACTGATACAAGTTTAAATACCAGACAGGATCAGGCATCAACCCACATGGCTTGATGCCCCAAAGATACTGATTTAAAATGTCAATGATAATTCTTATTTCATCTTATAAATTTGATTTCGCCCTGGAGCAGTGAAAGTGACCACATTTGATAATTCTGATTTCATCTTATAAATTTGATTTCATCTTATAAATTTGATTCGATAAAGCCCATCCTTTCAGTAATTATGTCATGACAAATTCTTACAGTAGCTAGCCCGAGAGCCTCACTTTCATGAATCAAGACAAAATGCAATTTGCTAACAACTCATGAGAACAAGGTTTACAGACCAAGGAGGGATTTACTATGTAGCTATATCAAAAGGGTGTATCAGATGGAATAAATAATCTAATAGGGATTGCTCATTCAGTATTTGCTCCTTTTATAGTATTACTAAGCATAAGTTTCAGCAGCACAGCTTACTTAGGCTGGCATGACACTTTCAGTGATTGCACAGCAGAATTTGACATAACCAAAATTTTATTGAATGGATACCTGCAGATAGTGCTAGGTGTCTACATGTTGCAGGACATCACATCTATATTATTACTGGTATCCGGATCCAGCACATGCATCCTAAAGCCTGCCTCACATGTACAAGAGCAACTTACTGAGCTAATAACCGCCTTGCATGGCAGCTAGCTCAGCAAGTTTCTCTTGTATGCGGATAGTTTTTGTGAGGATTTGACCTCTAATATAATAACATTTAATATCCATCTTTGGTTAGAAAAGTACAATGGATTTACAAGAAGAAGTGCTAAGGTTAAAATTGAAAAGAAGAAATTTTACTATTATTTACATCAATGTTGCTAAAAATGTTTATACTGGTTATATATTCTATAAAATTAATTTAGGACTGTTCTTAGGCCTTGAGGAAAATATCTATCATGTTTGATATTTTTCACCTCGCCAGGAAACAGTCTCAACGTCTGTGGATGTTGCAAGCTTAGTGCTGCATGGGCTGCTTGAATCAATTAGCCAGTGAGAAACCATAGTCTCTTCATATGACTTTGAACACATGCAATAATGGAGGAAAATGCAAACAATTTTGTCAATTATGTTGTTGTTGAGTAGTTTTCCCAACATGTGCGGTGAAAATGCATAGCTGAGCTAGCCGCCACACAAGGTGCTTAGCTCAGCAAGTTTCTCTCGTATGCGGCAGGCTTTAGTTATCATCTATTAATCTGTCTGTGGTAGCAGGGTTACTTTCACCTCAGGTATACTAAACTAATTCATTTACTATATCTAATGATAGTTAGAAGGATTGGACTCCATATTGCTCTCCCTTGCCTGCTTCATACTAAAGACACTAAACAAAAGGTCAGTAAAACATGGTGAAACTCTTTAAATTAAATATTAATTTAAAATGTTGTCTTTATTCGCTTATATTTAGTGTGTGTTTCTGCATATTTTCAAAATATTCTGATTAAGGTGCTTTCCATTAACTTGGCCAGACCAAATTGTTGAATGGAACACAAAACGTTTGGGCTTCAGACCTTTCTGACCGGCAAATTTGGATCAAATTAGAATGAGGCCCATTTTTCGCTAGATTTTCGAGAAACGTGGGCCAGATCTTTCCATTAATACCAAGACAGAAATTCTGGTCTAACTGGTCTGGCCATTAAATGGAAAGTGCCCTTAGTTCTGTTGATCTTCTATAAATTCCATATTTCAATGAGTCATTGGCATATATTTTGCATGACTTGCAATGACTATATTTCATATTTGCATGCATCTTCATCAAAACAAAGATTGGCCAGTTGGGTTTATTTTAAACCACTGGTATACATTTTTATTATTTTCCTGTTAATTAAAGCCAGAAATATATACAGTAGGCAACGGCATACGTTTGTATACTAAAGATAATTATTCAATGATTTATAAAATTTGCATGATGCAGCATTATCATGCAAATTAATGAAATATTGTCTTTATTATCTTACCCAAATGCGCCTTGCCCGACAACATGCAACTTGTCATAATCTGCCGATCGATCATCTTCTACTTTTTCTTGCGACATCGCACAATATCTTAATAAATTTTAGTATTTATTTTCAAAATCTTTGTTATATAAAAAACAAATTGATTCATAATTATTATTTTATTGTTTCTATGGTTTAGGTACCGGGCTCGCATACTCTGGATGTAACAAGACAACCATCGGAATTACGACCCGAGAGTTTCCACTAGGAAGTTTTTCGCTGGAAAAAAAATTGGGGTTGTAGCTTGTAGAAATGCGAATAGATAGAAATTTAATAATATTTTTACCAAAATTATTTAAGCTTGATTGAAAAGATTGAGGAAGATGTACGTTACAGAAAATAATATGCTCTTTTATAGTTGCATTAAAGATTTTGTTATGTAAAAATTAAGTTGAAAGCAAAGAGGAAGACAAGACAGGAAAAAAAGGTAGTTTTTGAAAGTGGAAAATCTCCAAATAAAAAAACAAATATTACTCAATTACTGTAACGGAAGTGAGCAAGAGTGCAAAAGACATTATATAAAAAGTGCAAAGATTTGTTCCTTAGAATTGTATTTTGTGATGTTTAGTTAGAAACAGAGTCCTACCTTTGGTTTGGTGGTTGAATAATGACTGCAAACCACGCTGTACGGATACTTGAGCTGCAAACTGAAATCGATTTGGAAAGACATTTTTTCCGCTTGCAGAAAGGTAAATAAATAACCCCAAAATTTATTGTATTTTTTTACAACGAAGTGTCTATTACAAGTATTTAATTAAACTGCCTGTACAGTGTTGTTGTTCTTTTATGCAAAAATATTAGTTTTACGGACAGAAGCAAAGTTTTTGCAGTATTTGGTCGCGTGCTGACTGCTGACGTACTGCACGTCTGCACTAATTCGTGCAGCACTTCATGCAGTTACATAACTCATGCAATTAAAACAAATCAATTGGCCATTTTACCGGAAATTAACACATTCATGTGAAACCCTCTGGTCTGTGTTTTCCTGACTAATGATGACATCACATAAACCCATAAAATTGCAGAATACATGCTAAGGGATCCTGTTAGGCCCCATCAAATCAGCATGTTGACAACCTATTTTGTGTTGGTCAAAATGTGATACACAGATTGTATCAATTTGACTGTATACTATTTGTTTCATGTGTGACGAAATCATGCTAATTTTAGTACCATTCCAAATTCATTTGATTCCATATGATTCATATGATCAATGTGAAAAGAGCAACATATGCTAAACCTGGAATGGACACCAGACTGGAACCACCAATTAAAACAGATGTGAAAGATCAGGGAGGGAAGAAAAAAACTTTCGGACATACCATTTTTCACTAACTCACTGAAATTTTTCCTACAATTATCAAAACTGCAATATTACAACATCGGGGGGGGGGGGGGGTCCCCCC